ATGAGGAACAAGGGATTTGAGTTTTGTTGAATTTTGATTTTTATTTCTGCAGGTAAAGATCACATTTTTTTTAAGAAGAAATTTATTAAATCATAATTAATGTTAGATGATCACATGTAAAAATCACATTTATCTAATTAATATCCACATATCGCCCAGGAAAAGAATGGTTTTAATCCCTCTGGTTTAAACTAAATGCCTTAATTTGACTTTGCACTTATACTGAAAAGTTAAAAATCAGTTGGTATTAGTTGAGAGAGCATGTTCTATATCAACTATTAGTTTTTGTAGAATATTATAGAGCGAAAAAGTAGTACGGTTTGGAGAATATTAGCTGTTGAGATGTGGATGCATACTTGAATTTGTAATGCAGGTTTTTGGTTTGAAGAAGATCTAGTTGCCTTTTAATGACTTTAAAACTGGTCAACATTGAGAGGCTCATGTTTAGGTATAATAGGGAGATAGATTTTTTACTTTATGCTGCTCTGTGCTGTTTTCTCGTTTGAATGATCACTGCTGAAGTTGCTCATGTTCTGTTGTTTGATGTCAAACACAGGCAATCAATGATAAGATACTCTCACTTAACTATGGAGACTTCAGAGCAGAGATTAAGTCTGTGGATGCCCAAGAATCCTTCAATGGCGGGGTGCATGTCCTTGTGACTGGATATTTAACTGGGAAAGACAACTTGATCCTAAATTTCTGTCAAACTTTCTTCCTAGCACCGCAAGATAGAGGGTACTTTGTCTTGAATGATATGTTTCGATACGTAGAGAATGTCAGTCAGCATGATGCAGTCCAGATTCCAGTAACTGATGTTGAGGCTCCTGTCACGCCACAGCAAGGTAATTGAAACAAATGATGGGTTCTTTTGGCAGTACCCTAATTAGCAACTGACGAAGTATTTGTTTTGAAGTTGTTGCAGATCCACCTCCAGTACAGGAGAATCACATTCCTGAGCAAAGCACACCGCCAGCGGAGGAAGCTGATGTGGGAGAAGTTTACAACCCACCTGAGAATGGTGATGTGCCTATTGTTGAAGAGGAAGTGCCTGTGTCTGAGGTTGTTGATGAAGTCCAAGATGGATCTGAAGTGGTAGTTGAATCTGACACCAAAACTGGGGAAGTTCCTAAGAAGTCATATGCTTCAATTGTAAGTGGTCATGGGCAACAAATAACTGAAAGCATATTCTTCTTAGTGTATACTTTCAAGGGGTTAATTTGCAATATTAGTACCTCTATATTTACATAGTTAATACGGACTAGAGCATTTGCTAAGTCCTATTGGGTTTCAAAGATGATTTGGGGAAGGAAAAGGTCTATTGAAGTTCTCTTAGTTAGACAATTTGCAATTTGTTTCAGGTCATGCATCTCAAGGAAAGCGCTGCTACTTTCTCCCCTCCTCCAGCACCTGCTAGGAAGCCTATGGCAAAGAGGGTTGAGCAAGTGAATCAACCAGCCGCAATAGCAACTGATGGCCCAGTTTCCAGCTCAGATAGTGTTGATAATATAAATGACCCAGAAGGAGAAGGCATGCAACTGCAGAGTTTGCTTCCATTTTTAATTATATTTCACTATAATTTGTGTTGATTTCTCATTCTTGTGTTTATTAATCTGCCTCCAGCAGCTGATGGCTACTCAGTCTACATAAAAGGCCTGCCTATGAGTGCGACTGTGGCCTTACTTGCAGATGAGTTCAAGAAGTTTGGGCCTATCAAAAATGGAGGCATTCAAGTCAGAAGTAACAGGGTATGTCTGTTTGTGCTATTTTCCTGCTAGCTAAAGAAAAATCTGCATGTGCATTCTTTTGCTATAAGTTCCTCTGCAATTATGGATTCTTTAATCAATAAACTGTTTTATGTCAGCAACAGGGATTTTGTTTTGGATTTGTGGAATTTGAAGTGGAGAGTGCTGTGCAAAAAGCAATCGAGGTATCTCATCTTCACCCCCCCACATGCATGTCATGTGTTATTAGTTGAAGAGGATGAGAAAAACAGATTGCCCCCCCCCAAATGCATGTCATGTTTTATAAGTTGGAGTGGATGAGAGGAACAGTTGCTAAAATATCTTTCATCAAGTACAAGTACTTTGGGAAATGTATAAGAAATCAGTGAGCACCCATATGCCTTGCTTTTATTAGTAGTGTTGAGTAACCATATTGCTGTGAGCTGTTCTTTTCTTTGAAGTTGAGCTTTTTGTCGTTTCTGCTTCACTTTAAACTGCTTTTGTGGAATTAATTAATTGATTTTGTTTCAATGTCTGTTTTAGTTTTACATTATATTGTTTGATGTTTCTAGTATCCAGCTCTTTGGCAATAATGACTTGGTAACTTTTCTAACTTATTGTTGCATAGTAGCACTATGAAAACTCATACTGATTTTGACTGCTTTATGCTGGAAGGTTTCTCAAATAAAAGGTGTTGAATTTTAAGTAGTTTGAATGTTAATCTTGTACGATCTGTCAAATGAGTGGGTTGTATCAGATTTTGGAGGAGTTGAAATAGGTTTGAGTCAATGAACAAGTTGTGAACCCACTTCCTGAAATTTCTTTTGGGATATGATGGGCTAAACAATGGGTCATAGCCCCGCCTTTCCAATTCAAAACCGGGTCTTTTTAATATGTAGTTTGTCCAAGTAAATCTTTTCTCTCATTGTAATTTCGTCATCTTGCCGCAGATGATCTGGAATTCAATGCCATGTAATATTTTCACTAATTCTGCAGCTGGAATGAAATTTATGCCAATTAGGTTTATTTGGGTAAGGCTGCGTACTATAGACTCTTGTGGTCCGGCCTTCCCCGGACCCCGCGCATAGCGGGAGCTTAGGGTGCCAGGCTGTCCCTATTTTAGGTTTATTTGGGTAATTCTTTACAATTTAATTTGGGCTATTAAGGTATTCCTAGTTGACCTGAACTTTTGCATCCGTTGATTTGTGCTGCCTATCAATGAAGTTTACTCGTCGAACCTGTAAAAATTCTGTCGGGTTACATTACATGTGTCTGGGTAAAATTTGGTATTGTCCAAAACTCCAAGTTAAGTAAATGTTCCTTGCACAACCCAGCTTGCACTTTTGTGGGTCAATCACATTTGACCTTAATTAACAATTCTTATCGTCACCTCAGCCAGTTCTGCAAATTAAAACTATCTCCTCTGCATTTATTTTGTACTATTTTCCTTTTTGTCATCTCTAAAAGAGGTTGACATGTTTGTAGATTTAGAAACTAGATTTCTTCTTTCCCATTTGATATTTGTCATGAGTTGTTGTAAACCCCACTAGATGAAAAAACAGATTGTGGAAGGTACAAGAGTATATTTGACATGCGGCTATAGTATGCATTCCAAGTTGTTCCCTGTAGAAACTTTAAATTGTTAAATCTGGTTTGGAAGATTTCATGTGGCAGGCCTCGGAAGCAGATAGTGTTTTTATTGAATATGCACTTTGGGTTATGTTGGTATGGTTATTATTTAGGCTAGTATGCATGCTAGTACTCCTTGCTTGTGTTATGCCTCAGCCAATTTGTTCCTTTGCCCCCGCTCAGTTTTCTTTTGGGCTTCCTTTGCTTCAGGCTTCTCCAGTTCTAATCGGTGGACGGCAAGCTGTGGTCGAGGAGAAGAGGTCTACCAATTCTCGAGGTAAGCTTAACGATTGTCCTTTGGAAGTGATTAGAATGACAGATGCGTAGCCAATAGGAAAAATTTAAATAATTGCATATTCGACATGTGTTGTGTTGGGTATTGTAAAGGACATGTTTCTATAATTACTGGGTCCTTTCTGATTGAGGAGAATATTATCTCGTTTTCCCGCTCTCCTGGCAAAGCATTCTTAAAAAGAGGCAGCTGAAATGGCATTTTTGAGGGGCCGTTGATGTTTTGGTTTTAATTTGTACATAAAGCGATATCCATTTATGTACATAAAGGGGAAATGCATATCGAAGCGGATAATGGAGCAGCGGGTAGGGGCCGTAGGGCTGCCCTGCTTTATTATGGATCTTAAGAAGGAAAATGTTAAAAATTTGGACTTCACGAATCTCTCCTAGAAAGTGTAGCTACATTATTACCTTTTTACAATGAATTTAGTTGTCTTATCTCTATTGCAGGTAACACCAGAGGTAGGTTTCAATCTGGAAGGGGTGCTGGATTCAGGAACGATGGTGGAAGAGGACGGGGAAATTATGGAGGTGGCAGGGGCTATGGTCGAGATGATTTCAATGGAAGAAATGAGTTCAACAACAGGGGTGGCAGTCGTGGGGGGTCATCAAACCGCGGAGGTGATGGATATCGACGAACTGACAACACAGGTGGGCGAATGAGTCGTGGTGGTGGGGTTCCTAATGGAACAGCTAAAAACACGGCACCACGCTATTCTGCTACTGCTTGAATAGTAGTAGCTTACAGCGAAATGAGGGTTGGTACTATTATTTGAATCGACATTTGAATGGTTAATTGTTGAGGTGGAAAGAAATTTTGTGAGGAGCTATGATGTTTTCCCAAGAGCTCTATTTGCTAATTTTTCTAGTTATTTTTTCTTTTTGGTTAATTGATAGGTGAGATAGGAATGGAGTTCTTAGAAGATTCCTTTGTGTAGCATATCTCAGCCCTAGGAAGAGATTATCCCGTCTTTTCTGGGCCTTTTTGTATTGAATTATTGTTTGGGGCTTTTTACTTGTGGTAATCGTGGAAATTTATTTATTTTAACCGTGATTTTGCGTGGCTTTATGATCAGATGCAGCGTAAGTTGTCTTCTCTGTTGTCTCTCTTTTATCTAGTATCGAAAGGAATACTAGTAGTTATTTTGTTATTTTATAAAGATGGTGTCCGATTAACTTGCGCATCTCAACAATTTCATCCATAGTTCCTACTACTTTTTATCAATATAGACATGTGATAATCTTATTCATCAAAGCTTTAGACAGATGCGAATAAATCGCCTAGTATTATTTTGTCTTCGGATTGGATTTTGGTCTCCAAATTCATAGACTGTTAGGCCGCACAGATTAAGCAGGCTAAACATTGATACTTCTCATCTGCCCATTGTGCCGGTGCTCATCTAAGTACCAGTTCACAATGAATGTAACTGAAGGCGTACAGCACCATATCCATCAGAATCATGTACGACATAATAAATGTATACATGCTGAAAAATATCTAAACTGGTCTCACTGCATATGATAATTAACTACACACTTACTGATTGATGACTTCATCATAAGCATCTGGAAGAAGACATTTAAAGCCGCTGCCTTTAGGAGTTTATCTGCAAACAAGATGGTTACATATAGAAAACCTCTAGATCTATGCACTAACAACTTGAAATGCATCCCATACTCTAGACGAAATCACAGCTGACCTACACACTACATAGAGCGACGAAATTAAATACCAGAAAAAATAATGTTGCTTAATCGTGAATTCTGAAGTACATTACTAGCCACAAAATTGCCAATATCTAAACTCCGATAGCAGCCTTCTGAATTAAATAGAACTTGCTATATTATTTAACTTCTGGTCCTTCCATAAAAATTCAACACCGTATAGACAATTGAAAACTAGAACACCAAACTACTGTTGATAAAAAACGCGAAGACCTGGATAGACGAAATACCACCTAAGGCATAGAAACATGAGCACTAATTTTCCGTGGGAGAGAGCAACGGCAAGTCATGTTAAGGGATGCTTGTAGGAATAGCTTGTTAAACCCATGAAGCATAAATCCACCTGACCTCATTTATTTAAAGACCAAAATTACATGCCTGCACGTACTCATTTTCATAATCGACATACTTTGTCCAAAGAGGCCGAAATTGGTTCATTGCAATATCAAGCCATGGCTTCATATTCCCATTAAAGTGGACAACTGCAGCATTATTGATTTCATCCATGCTTATGCTTGGATTGTAGCCAAGCCCCAACACATGCCAAGATTTGTCGAGTGGCTTCGTAGTAGAATAAAATGTGATTAAACCTGGAGGCAGTGTACCCAATTTCCATAAGGTTCGGTTTTCGTTCTGCAAAGAATAGAAGCTCCATTAGTTAAAATACTATAAACTTGTAATGAAAATTATACTAGCCTAACTAACTAAAATGCAGTGCAGCATGACACTTCAGAAATTGGAAAATTTGTTTTAATGGAAACAGCAATGAAAGCTAGCATCTCTCACTGGCTTAATCTACCGGAAGCAGGACACCATGCTTAATAACCTCTTCGGATCTATAACTACTGGACATGGTTTGTGAAGAGCTCAAAACAGACCACGCCAAGTAACTAAATTGCTGAGGGTCACTAATTCAAGATATGAAGAAAAAGAAAGAAACAAAAGATGTACACATGTTCATATGTATTGTATGCATGCCAGCATGCGTCCACACACACACAGACACACACAGACACACACACACACACACACACACACACACACACACACAGAGAGAGAGAGAGAGAGAGAGAGAGAGAGAGAGAGAGAGAGAGAGAACCTTTGACAATGCAAAAAGCTGAGAATGCACTCCGTTCTGGTCACGGTTAAAATTTGGTCCAAGCCGCTCCATCAATGCCACAAAGCACCAAAATGATTCTGGTTCATCTTCCATCACATACAATATTGGTGAAAGAAAATCACTCATACCCTACAAGTCAATAGAATAAAAAGGTTCATCTAAAGTGAGAAACCAAGAAAGGAAAGGAACTGACACTAAGTTGTAAAGAGAACAATGGAGCATAAAGGTAACAAGAACATGGATCAAAAGCGTGTTTCCACCAATATCATCCACCAAAAATTGAATTCTCCATAGAGATATGACAGTCAAAAGGGAAACTGAGTAATCTCAGGCTGGTAATATTAGATATTGTGATCTGTATTATATGAGATCATTTGTTCACTGATAGCGTGACAATCCCTTGCAAAAAGATCCAATTGAAGGTAAACTATCAGGACATTGGATAGTAATAATGTTAGGTACCAAAAAAGACATGCATAAAAGCAGCATTATTACGTTGCTACCTTTTTTAAAATAACTGTGGTGCCCTGACAACCTCTCACGCGCCTCAACTTATCTAGCGGGTATCTACTACCTCCCACCAACATATGTACTGGGTAAAGCGCACCATGGCTTAGGCAGATAGGGTGAGATCATCTAGAGTTTTTTTTGTCTCTACTGGGATTTGAAGCTTGGTCTTCTAGGGCCTTTCCACTTCCATGACCGCTAGGTCACAATCTTGAATGCTTTTATTATCTTGCTACTTTATTATGCCAAAACTCTATCCTGGTTATAGTAAAAGCTTCAGAGTGAAGAAAAGTTAAATCTTGAAGCAGATTTTTGCAATGAAGAAAAACAAGTCTCTCAGTAAGAATGAAGAGTCTGTTAAAATATTCAAGCTTCTGAATCTTATTCTTTTATTTCACAAAATTACACTACCAAAAAGTTGGGATTTATTTCTGCAGAAAAGTAACATTAATATTGAACACAGTGCTGCCTAGATATACATTGTTTCAAGTTCAAGTCTCTCTATTGTGAAACAACAGATCTAAGAGAAAGAGAAAGGGTGGCAAGAAGCCTGAATAATTTCAATGTTTAGAAATCTGAAAATCATGCATGTAGCAGATTTGCATGAGCATATTATTAGCAAAAACACACCAATTAACGTATCGCAGTTACCTGGCAGTAACCCAGGTCAAAGTTGTAGAATGAGTAAGTGAGCAGTATGTCACGCAAACACTTCACATTAGAATTATCATCCCCCTCATAGAATGGAATCGACCTATCAGTCCTGACCTTAAAGATGAATTCAAAAAAGAATAAGGAAAGAAGAACAATATGAAGTGTCATAATTTTATAAACCAAAATAATACTATGTTATAGCAGTAACACTGGTAGTTAATGGCTCGGATGTGAAGAACTGCATATTGCCTCTCAACCTCTCATATACAAATCATTTGTAGGCCAAAAAGGCTGGACTAATAAAATACTTACCACATCTTTTTCAATAAGACCCTTTCTTTCTCGAAATTTTGTAAATCTTTTGGTCTGCTCTTTAGAGATGCTCTGCATAAAAAGATCCAATATGAACATTAAAATTTAAAGCTTCATTTTACCAAAAAGGATCTCAAAGCCATTGTCTCATATTGGTCCTCTCTGGAAGAAAGAAATATAGGGGAGTTGATTCCCCTCGTAGAACATGAAAAGCATAACGCCCCATCAAAAATGCTTAATTCTTTTAACCCTGAAAATGCTTTGGAGGAAGGAAAAATAGGGAGTTGACTTCCCTAGTTCATCATAAGTCAAAATCCCAAAGACATGTTATTATTTCCAAGCTCATCGGTGTCCTATTTCACGAAAACAAAAGGAAACACATAAAAATGACTATTACTATCTCTATGAATATGCATTCCTCTTTTCAATATTTAATTTACCATTGGCATCATTTAATCTAGTAGAGACAGGGGAATGGAGTAATGACATGAAAATCTGAGATGATATCATACTCGGGTCAATTGAAAGACAAAGCGTGAGATACTCAAAGAGAAAACAGAGACATCGCAATCCAGCAGCATCATAATGACGGTCACAAGAATCTCATCAGATTGCAAGTGAATTAAACATAAGATGCAGCTTATTCAACAATACTAGTCATGAAAGACATTTGTCTAGAGAGAGCTAGACAAACCTTCCACTGGTTCTTCAATGTCTCATACTCTGACTTTTTGATAGATGCAAGGTATTTCCTCTCAGCATACGTTGAATCATACGAATGACATCCCAACAGAAATCTCCAGATCTGGAAGCACAATGACCAATGGAAGTACATTATGCCTGCTTAGACAGACAGTGAGAAGGACAAATCTCCACAAGAACATACCTCTTTCCTCAGACCTTTCTCCACTCCTCCATAAAAGATCCTCTTTCTTAGTGCCTGAGAGTCTATGATCCTCCCTTCAGAGTCCAAAAAGGTGGACCACTGAGGAAAAACTTAATGAAGTAAGGAATGAAGAACTTAGCTGCGAATGCCAGACACAACATTACACTATATAACCACAGGCTAGAAAGTTAAATTGGGATAATTGCGTGTACACACACACACACACACATATGTTACATGTGTGTATTTATGTATGTATACACACACAGACACACTCATAATGTAGGAATTTCTCATCCAAGGCCGACCAGATGTGCAGTATTTTGACAAATAACCTTTTGAACTAAGTTGTTAAACCTACAAGTTGGATTATGTGGCATTCTTAGAATGTCATGCTAATCAAATTACCTTAAACACAATAACAATATCATATTGGGGCACATAAATGATCTATTAAAAAAGTCATGGCCATTATAGTCTTCATGGAAATGGTATTTGGTCTTCACAAACTAATTTAACTCAAAAAAGTAACAATGCGTGAACTATCTAAAGTCACTAGAACCAGCATTTTTTTACCTCTTCTATTTGGAAGGATCACAAATCATACAAAAAGGAGACATTGACTAGCCACTAGGCGCTAATTAATTATCTTACTCAACTTTAGTCAAGTACTCCTTATCTACATTTGAAACGCAAATGTTGAATATGGAAAACGTTGCCTCATCAGATTTCATCAAGTATAACAGATTACAAACTCACTAGTCACTCCACTTACGTTCAAGAGCACAGCCAGTTTTGTGTCTAAATGTGGGAATCATTGTAGGTTGATGGAGAGCATAAAAAATAGTAAAATTAGGATAAATCCTTTTAGTAACAATTTCGTTGATGCTCTCTTAGGTACATGCTACAATTTCACCTCGCTGTAGTATTAAATAGGTAACAGTTTCCCCCATAAAGGAACTTGGGTGAGAGGGACCTTAATAAAGCTGAATGGTACAGAAGATTAATATAGCCGACCCTAATAGAACATCATGGTATAGAGGACTCATTAACCAACCCAACTAATCTAGGATTGAGATGTAGTTGGTTGATTAATTTATTGATAAAGATTAGGCACTAATGAAACAACAATATTAGGGCTTCCAGTGTAGGAATACATTCTCTCAAGAGAAAGTTTAACTTGAAGAAGTTAATGTTCAAATGCAGAGTATTTAACGCCAATTACTTACTAACTCTCACAAAAAAAAATTGAAGTGGTATGCAAAAGCGAGCAAGTCTATGATAAATTGGGACAGACAATGAGACGTTTTATGTTGGGAACTGCAACATTCTTTCTTTCAATTAAACGTCTCTCAAAGAAGTTCCAAAAAACAACATTCAGTTAAGTTATAGAGCACCTTAAATAAAAATTGCTGGGACATCCATAAACATAGTTGACTTCCACTTCTCAACAAATAATTTCTGATCTGAGAAACTTTCACTGCGATAAATAGAAAAAGCTAAACATGAAGTAGCTTGCAACTGATTCAGCGAACCACATAGAACCTCTTCTAATACAATGATAACAACAACGATGTAGAACTGGAGAATGAGTGCCTTGTGATTTATTATAAGTTTTGACACGTGCCTCATTACTCTTTGACTAAACAAATGAATCCAACGACACATTTAACGAAGTGTACGAAGCCTTTGCTTAACCCTAAACGATTTAGTTGTTTTGACAACAGATACAAATGATAATTATCACAATTACAACTATGAATCATCAGAAAGTTCAAATCTTTTACAGAATGGACATTTATTTGTATTTAGGTCTGCAATACACCTTCACATGTACGGCCTAATTCTTTTCTTGATTCAAGTACGTGGAAATTTGATAATAGGTTGCGGTGAAACTCAAAATCAGGACCCCTGCCTACTCTGTTGCCATGTTGAATTATGTGACAACCTCATTTCCAAACATAAGTTTTTAAAAAAGGGGCAATTTTATTTAGTTATTCACGTCTGCAACAACAATCGAATGAGACGGACCTGAGCTTCTGGCCGAAAAAACTTACTCTTGACCTAGAACTGGCATGATGCCAATTGCCAACAGTTCAAAAAATGCTACCTTACAATTACACAGATAGACAAGCCTTATACCTCTTTTGATCCCAACGGAGGCTGGCGCGGTTTTCCCCATACTAACGACAATTTGTCATACTGCATCATAAAGAAAAGACGTAGATGAATCACAGAAAGACCACTACATGCACTTATTAACTTCAAGGAGGAGGTAGGGGGGGGGAGGGGGGGGGTCCAGAATAACTCATGCTACCAAGCTAGATATGAATAAGTAGCCTAGACAATAAGTGGTAATTTGAAAAACTTTTCTCAAGCATACTAGTTCACTGATTTTCCTCTAAATTTCAACTGTTAATGAGGACATCTGTCATTACAGCTGCTGAAGGGAAAGTAGCTCTGAAATAAAGATTATTAATCAGTAACCATGTCAAATACTTCATCCACCCTTACAATCTGAACTGGGTTTCAATAAAAATTAATTTCTCTGCTTTTAACTTTAAGTAAAAATAAATTAATGTGCAGCTAAAATAATAAGTGTACTTAGAACTTTATAACAATATAAAGAAAAGATGACACAGTCCAGTCTACATCTACAGGTAGGATTCAGATAGTGCAACTTTATTCATTGTTTCTCAAATTGATTTGTTTACAAAAATTTAGTCTTCAGTTCCATGGAGTAACCCTTTATCTCCTTTCCAACAAAAGCAAAAAATTAACTTTTTGACCAACAAAAAGGGAAAAGAAAAGGTAAAAACTTCAGTTTATCCATGAATTGGAGCAACTAGATAACTATAATCATATGATTGGAGGGATTTTTTATATCACCAAGAAAGCTGAAAACTAAAACAGGTTTTTATTCACTAGTAGGTCTTTATTTACATGCCCAGCAAGTCAAATGGCTCCTCAAGTATGGACATACCTCAAAAGTTTCATCACGCAATACCGCTTCTTCATTGTGACTATTTTTTTCATTAGAACATTTCTGTTTAAGGATAAAGAAATACATCAGAACAGTCCTGTTTATGGAGTTGATATTATATCCAAAAATGCCATTTTGCAGGATCATTCTTATAGTTTTCAGTACAGTAGACAATAAACTGAAGCGGTACATTCATTCTTTGGACCCAAGGATAAATCATGTTAACAGCCTTGCCACTTCTCCATCGGAGCATCAGCAGTATTAAACCAAGAAATTGTCTGACTTCTTATTAACTTGTAGTTTTTCGTAAATTACTAAATCTTCTTAAGCATAAGTGCAGAATTCTCGTTGTTGACTAACCAAATCAAATTCCCAGTTACAAAAAAAATTAAATGCACAAATAAGAACGGAATTCATGAACAGCATTCTTGTAAGCCAGGAGCTGTAAAGGCAATGAAACTAAGAAGAGAAGTGGAGTACATGTGAGGTTCTTACCTCCAAAGAATCTGCAGGCACAGGAACATCTGCAAGCGGCTCATGAACATCATTAGATTCAACAACAAAAGAATAATTATTTAGCTTTTTGTCATGCTTCCTCCTTGCATTAGAAATGAAACCATCACCACGAGCTTCACGAAGAAGTTGAGACTTTGTTTCACGAGCAAATCTGGTGACAAGAGAAAATTTCTCCAGTACTTGAATAGAAAAATGTCGAGGATCATTATGTTTTTGTCTTTGACTGCCATTTTGTTGAATATATGTGGAGCTCTTATCAGGGGCTCCTCCGTCTGTCCAACTGGGTGAAGATTCACTGGGTGCAACGGATGAAATTGGACTGTTTGCAACAGAGACGGCCCCCGGAAGCTCCAAGGAAGAGAGAGTTCTCTATAAAAATCATATCGAAGTATGAAGTCGAAGTGTGATTTTGTGAAAGAGCAATAGATGAATTGTTAAAAAGTTAAAAAGAATTTTAAATGACATTAGCCGCACCTGGAGCGGATCTTGGAAATCATTGACAAGAAATATATTTGCATCTTCAGCAGACCTGAAAATACCCTTAACTAGTGAGCGACAGGAAATCCTCCAGTAATCTAGTTACTCTCTGTCAGTACTAGGTCAATGCACGACAAAATAGATACCAAAATCAACCAATATCCCAACTTTCCAGTACTACAAGTATCTATGCCTTCTGAAACGTGAAAAAATAGTCCGTAGGTATCCATAAAGAAGGTGAACCAGCCACAACTTCCAGTACAATTAGTTACTATACCAGAATTTCAGCTAGCATAAACAACATACATCAATTGATAGGTGGCACTCAAACTAGTATTTGCTAGTAACTTACACTCACATCTGCCACCTCCAGAGATCATGTTCTTTCAAATTATCTCCCATCCACCAAAGAACCTCCCTGTGTTTTCAAATAATATTACTGATAATTGGTTTATCGTTATTTGTATGTTACACTAGCATCAAACAGCAATCCGTGTGTGAGCTGTCTTGTTCTAATTTCTACTTTCTCATTCTTTCCATCTCAAAATAAAAGGTAAAACAGAAACATAAAGGGGTTTTGGTCCCAAACTGCAATGAAGAATCAACAAGAAAGAAAAAGAAAAGGAAAACACATAAATCTGTGAATTTTTTTAATAGTCCATTTAGCTAGTTATAGAATCATAAAAAGCCGATGCCCAAAAGAAGATTAAGTAACCAATATACCTCACAAGAAATGCATGTTGCTTAATCGTTGCAAGAAATTCCTTGAGACCACCATTGTAAAAATAAAGTGGAGGAAATGCTAGTCCTGCATAAGACATGACAGTTGCACAATCAACAAAGTGGTACTGTGGGAAGTATGAACAAGATCTACCAAAAATGGCATGGAAAATGAAGCCAGAATGTAACTTACCAAAAAAATATACAAATAAAGCCATGCATGTAAGTTTTAAAGCTAGATAGAATAAAAGATGTCTATCCATCACGAATGCATATATGCCTATATACAATGGCATACAAGTTAAATGCATTGACTTCAAACATCATGATATATTGAGAAGCAGAATAATTATGCCTAAATCAATCAAGTGGATTACCAAAGAGGGACCTGAAACATCATGATATTATAAGACATTTGAAACAAGGAGGACCAACAACTAGATTTTTCAAAAAAAATAGATTTACGGAAGGCTTGTCATGAAACTTAAACCTATTCAGAAACAATAGAAAACACGGAGCTAAAATGAACTAATATCCCATTCATTGACAACCCTTTAGAAAATGTTGCTGGCTCCACATCTTTTGTACATAGGTTGAACAAATTGGAGCCACATTGAGAAAAAGGAAGCTGGTTTTACCACCGAAACAAACAGCTAGACAATTGTGCAAAATTGGCACATACTGGAGAAATAAAAAATCCATTTTTTTCCTTATAGGCACATACTGGAGAAATAAAAAATTCATTTTTTTCATTATAGGTACTGGAGAAAATAAGAAATCCTTTGATACTTTGTCAAAAACATTTGCTGTTTCAGAAGAGGTATCATATCTTGGTGACCCAAAATTTAATTGAACACGAAGGATAACACGGAGAGATCTTAAGTTCAGCTAGCAAGTTGAGTTTCGAGCAACATTCCACTTTAAGTTCAGCTAGCAATGTCCTTACCGCTAGCAAATTTTCACTTTTTTCAGTTAGCAAATTGAATTTCAGATCATTCTCAACGAACCAAAGCCAGCCATGTCCTTAGCCTTTATAGGAGCAACTTTGATCTCACTCCAGCTTCAAAATTATTGCCAATAGTTGCCGATTATGCTTTGGAAATTCTCCTACAGTCCTATCCACGAGTCCTAAGATTGCCATAAAATGAACTAAAACGTACCATGGATTTAGGAGCAATTTTGACTCCAACCCTAGCTTCCGAAGTATTGTCTGTAGTTCTTGTCTTATGCTTCTCAAAATTTGCCTACCACAGGTCATAACATTGCCATGAATCATAATGTGTTCCACATCTTGCTCGATGAACCAAATTTAACCATGTATCTAGGAGCAATTGATTCCTAGCCTAGCTTCTAAAGTATTCCCAAATAGGAGTTGTCTTAGCCTCTAACTGCCCAAAAGTCATAACATTGCCATGATATCAAAATGCTTATATTCATGGAAATCCATTTGAGAAAGCATAATCAAAATGAAACATATCTTAAGAGTTTTAGGGCTTGTTCGGCCAAACTTCCAAAACCTGCTTATGTTAAATGAGAGTAGTAGTTTTTGTTTGACACACATCTGAGAAGCACTTTTATATGTATTAGAGAATTAATTTTTGTTTGACCATCTTATCAAAAAATGCTTATGAGTGTCAAAATAGGAAAATGGACATGCAAAGATTCAATCTATTGCTTGTCAAAAAGAAAGAATCACTTTTCTATTAGTATAACTTACATAAATAAATGATTTTTAACAATTTATTATAAGAGACTTTAATTAAATTTTTTAATTTTATTTAATTAAAATGTTGAAAAAAATAAGAAATAAATCAAAATATTTATTAGTATAAAATATACTTAAGCCAGATGGATTAAACTTAGGAGGGATAGTTTAGTGAATACAAATTTTTGATAAGGATGTTTTCTTAATAACAAATTTTATGTTCCGGATTCTACTTCCGAGGAGATGCTACAAATTTCTATTTTCTTTCACAGTAGAAATGTTACATCCCGTACTTTTCTACATTGGATTTGTCATAAGATAATTGACATAAGTTCAAGGACAAGATTATTTTTGAGGTTATAAGTATTTATACTATTTCAAACAAGTGATAAGTAAAGTCGTGAAGGTGAAAGGGTAAACGAATTGAGGAAAATGAGTTTCGTCGAAGTTTGACATTTTGGGATGAAATATGATCCAAGTTATAATACTCCGTATTTATGGACTAGTGCTATACCACATGATCATGATAGTATGATATATGAAGTATGTTAAAGGTGATTAGTATTTAAGCGAAACGCGATATAGTAAGGAATTATGTGTGTATCTAATTAAATTGGAGACTATAGAAGGAAGAGGAGAAATAAGTCAATATTATTGAATAATTATTATGTGGGCATGATTCACATGGGTTAGGAATAGGTGGCACCAAGGGATGGAGACATGAATGCATAAGGTGAAGAGGGCATCTATTTTGTCTATAAAAGTTACATGTGTATTTAAAAGGTGTGTTGGCATCTTATTAAAAAGGATGACCTATGATTGATACATGTATAGATAAAGTTACTACTTAATAAATTTAGATGACTTTCCTAACTTTTCATTTAAGTAAGATACTTGCTCAAAACGCGAATGGAGATACATATCTCATTAGCGTAATATTTCAAGGGATTAAGGCCATTCATGAGGTTATAGAGGATTTGTGACTATGTTATTGTAAGACCCCGTAAGTTTAACAACCTTGATACCGTTAGATACATTTTGATATGGTATTTATTTTGAGTGGAGCATTTTTTGTAAGAAAGTTTGAAAAATATGATTTTATATAGTTATTAACTATGTTGCTCGGACTCTCCAAAAATGTCGCCGGGTAAGTGACTGCGTGTCGGATCCTTCAAAAGTAGTGTATTTTTGGAGGATCCGACATGGGTGCGGCAGCATTTCGGAGAGTCCGCGCAACATAGGTTATTAATATTACTACTTCCGAATATGCTTTAAATTATAGATATAATATGATAAAGTTTATGAGATTTTCTTTATTGTAAAGATATAAATTATTTTCTCACAAGAAAAGAAGGTTATATTTTTACCATTTTAAGAATTAAGCGCACGAAAATTTGTACTCTTTATACGAGATTAACAAAATTTGAAGTTGATAAAATATATGAAATTTTTGCATGGATGTTTTAATGATAATAGTGTATGTATTGATTTTATATGGTATCATGATTTATTAATATATTAGCATTTTAATAGTAGCACTTTAGGATGAGAATTTGTGGACAATTACAAGGTGACAAGGATGTCATCACGTGGCTACATAGCAAAGAGCAACAAGTGACTGATACAAATTATCATGTTGGCGGCATCTTTATAGCCAATTTCTTAGTGATAAAGTCATGGCTTTAATTGTGTGGGCCCATAGACATAAATAAAGCAATTCTTCACTTAAGCTCTCATTTTAGTGATATGGAATTGACAAAATGGGGCTGCTCTCTAGAGATCTTAGACAAACAAAAACGAACAGAGGGGTTAGTCACGACAAGTATACATTTGGTTGGTTGTTTCGAACTCGTGGTGCTATCGTTAAGCCGGAAGTAGTTCGAGATTGAGGCATAGAGGAGATTGTTCAGAAATACAAGTAGGAAGTTGATATTAAAGGTATGTTAAGGCTAATCCTTCCTTCTTTTGGCATGATCCAAGTAACGATACGTAAACGTAATGTTATTCCATAAATGGTTCTACTCTTAGTAGTTAAGGATGTCTACGTTATTCATTCCTATAAAGTGTAGTTCAAAACATGTCTAAGTATGTTCCTAAGTCTCTTTTGAGGCATATGATAAAGATGTTAATGTTCATAATTTAGTGATACATGCATCTTCATTTACCACCGTGCTACGGCCGGTTGGGCAGTCATGCATCTTCATTTACCACCGAGCTACGGCCGGTCAATAGTTACCACCAGTTGGGCAGTTACGTAACATTATTTACCACCGGTTGAACAGTTATGCATTTACCACCGAGCTACAGCCGGTCAGGCAGTTACCACCGGTTGGGCAGTTATGTATCATTATTTACCAACGGTTGGGCAGTTATACATTTACCACCGAGTTACGGCCGGTCGGGCAGTCATGCATCTTCATTTACCACCGTGCTACGGCCGCTCGGGCAGTCATGCATCTTCATTTACCACCGTGCTACGGCCAGTCGGGCAGTCATGCATCTTCATTTACCACCGAGCTACGGTCGGTCGGGCAGTCATGCATCTTTATTTACCACCGAGCTATGGCCGGTCGGGCAGTCATGCATTTACCACCGAGCTACGGCCGGTTGGACAATCACGCATTTACCACCGAGCTACGGCCGGTCGGGCAGTTACCATCGGTTGGGCAGTTATGTATCATTATTTACGACCGATTGGGCAGTTATGCATTTACCACCGTGCGAAGGCCGGTAGGGCAGTTACCACTGATCAGTTGGGCAGTCATGTTACTATATGGATAATAGTTCCGAAGATATATATATATCTATATATATATATATATATATATATATATATATATATATATAAGTATAATTAGTATGCATATATGGTGGCACCTCAGAGATTCAGTTTCATTCTTATATCTCTTTAATTAATGTTGACTTATTGTTATGTTTCAGTTCCGCCTTACATACTCGGTACATTATTCGCACTGACGTCCTTTTGTTGTGGATGTTGCATTCATGCCTGCAGATATAGGTAATCAGTTTGACGAGCCCTCATAGTAGACGAGGTTAGCATTTAGCGAAGGATCGGTAAGACTCCACTTCATTCGGAGTGCAGCCGAGTCTATAAAGCATCGTGTCAGAGTTTTCCTATATACTTATGGGTAGGCAGGGGCCCTGTCCCATTTGATGTCGAATAATATTAGAGGCTTTGTAGACAGAGATTCATTTGGTACAGTATGTCAGAGGCCTTGACGGCCCATATGTATTCATGTTTTAAGAACGATGTTTCATTGATACAGCGTTTGCCCACTTACAGTTGTACATTATGAGTAGCGGCCATGTTGGACCATGATAGTTACAAAAGGAATGAGTTCAGTCAACTCAACCTATGTATGTTCTAGTTTTGGTCGAACAATCACGAGTTATAGAGTGGTTCGCTCGGGCCAGCACGGTACCGGGTGCCAGCCACGCCTCCCCAGGATGGGGCGTGACAAGAAAATTGCTTCTCATGATTCTCAATCACGCTTTTTCCCACGGGCTCAGCCAAATAACTTAACTCTCCAAAATAAGAAAAAAGAAAAAGAGCTTTCCCAAAAGTTGACCAAATAGGCCATCGATCATGCCAAATGAAGAACAACAACAACAACAACAACTACCCAGTAAAATCCCACTAATGGGGTCTGGGGAGGGTAGTGTGTATGCAGACCTTACCCCTACCCCGCAAGAGTGGCTGTTTCCGAAAGACCCTCAGCAAAATGAAGAACATAGATGGATTATCTCAGAAAACAATAGCATTGGACTTTCTACTTCCTAAATTCTCAAGAAATTATATCAAGTGACAGCTGAGAAATTGAGTACTGAAGCCACACCAGGCATGCAAGGAATAATAACACTGATAATTTAGAAAGTAAAAGTGATCTATTTCCAAAAGAGACAAATAGAGTAGCAAGTAAACTAACTTCTCACAACAGAAAAGGTTAAACTATTCTATGGAAACAACAGTTAAAAAATCACTGGTATATAGAACAGAAAGGTTTGGGAAACTATAGTACATGATCACGTACCTGACGACAAAACTATAATAGCATACTGCCAACCCAATGTAGGAGTGTGTCTACGGATTGACCTAATATCCGAGAAAGGCACTGCTCTTATTGTATAGAGACTCTTATCTGAACCAAGATATAGAAAAGATAACATTATGGAACAGCTAATGGAACTTTTTATGTGCATAAAATCACAACTCTTTTTTGAGTCACAATACAGATAACTTAAGTCCAACCTTTTTCAGACAGCCTTGCACTTGAGCTTTGCCCTTTATATGGAATCCAAGTCTGTCACAAAAGCACTTTGATGGCTCAGTTAAATAGGCAGAACCAATTGATATTTGCAACAAAAGTGAGCCCCCTCCCCCCCAAAAAAAAAACACACAAACACACACACAACATAAAGGCGTCATCCTTGTTTAATGGGAAGGATAGGGGGAAAACCAAATTTAAGTTAGAAAGAGGAAGGCAAAGGGGATACTTGGTTAATGTACTAGACTGCGTTAGTTTGAACTTTGAAAGGAAAACTCGTTCCGTTTTCACCCATTACTCCAAGAGGTTATTGGTATATACTACAAGCCAAAAAAAATTAAGGGACACCTCATATATTTAACCCTTATATTTATTGTTAAATTATATTAAGCCCTGTTATGCATACTCGTCTTTCACTCTTTGAACCAACTGTTATATAAAGAAATTTCCAAACAGTAGGAGCTTTTGCAGATCCAGTTGCATTTGAACTTTAACACCACCTCACACCTATACTTTGGTACGAAAATTATGGGAGGCAGGGATGTAGCAAACTTCAAATATCATGTATGACACAAAAGAGCAGATGATCCAATAGCAATTATCAAAGACTATATTTGAAATTGGTCATACATAAAAATGAGTCTAACGAAGCATGAAATCTACTTACCATTAACAGAGAACTTCCTTGCTTGATCAGCTTCAGCCGACCCCTGATCCTCTCCCATGCATGTTGAGTTGGGTGTATTGCCACATTATCTTTCAAATACACTATTTCAACACCAACTTGTTCACTGGATGAACTCGGTTTACTGCTACCAGTCGTAGTCATGCTCGTCGAACCCTAGTACACACCACAAACATAAAAAACTTTAAATCCATTTTACCAAATCACAACAAAGCAGGACAATAATCAGCTTCATAAACTTCTGGAGGAGTAACTAAAATACTCCCTCTGTCCCAATTAATATAAGACACTTTCCTCTTCAGTCTATCCCTAAAAGAATGATCATTTCTACATTTAGAAACCATTTAACTTTAAACTTCTCATTTTAACCATAATGAGATTATTTATAGCCACAGAAATGTCTGATGACTGATTTTAGACCACAAGCGTCAACCATCGTTCTTCCTTAAACTCCTTACTCAGTCAAGCACTTCCACATAAATTGGGAGAAAGTCCAAATGGAGTATATTACACAAAATCAACAAGCTCAACGTCTAGAATCAAGCTCCATAGTAAATCACACATCATAAGCACATATTAACTTCATCAAAATATACAGTAATTTCCTCTATTTAAGCTCGAGATAATTACGTATAATTCAGAAATTTATAAAAATTAATAGATAATTACTCAATATGGTAGCTATATATTTTTTTTTGTGTGTGTGTGTGTGTGTGTGTGTGTTTTTGTCGATTATCAAACGTAATTTGTGTATGCTGATAAGATAATTCGTGACAAAAGTTGCTCAACAATATACATAAATTGGCGAATCAATAATTAGCATATACTATTAAATAAAAGCAAGGATCACAAAAATTATAATCAAGCATCGAGAAATCACAAAATCACAAGCACAAATTAAGTTAACCTAATATACATTAACATTCCGTTTCCGAGAGATGAATCAATAAATAAACGGACAAAATAGGAGCAATTGAATCAAAATGCGAAGAAACGGTGACAAGTAAGTGATCATAAAAAATTGTGAAATGGCAAAGAGGTAAATGTGGAGAGGAAATTAATGCTGACTTGATGCATAGAAGCAGCGTAATCGGCGTCGTCGGAGAGATCGTGGAGGTCTATTTCGTGCATCTATGGCGAATGACTGCTGCTGAAGTAGACAAGCTGCTACCTGCTAGTCTTGGTGACTAAGGGAGAAGAAGATTCAATAGACGGAGCAGGTAACGGTCTACGTGTTTCCGTGTGTATTTTGACCCTTTTTGAAACAAATCTATCGTTTGCTATTTATATTTTTCTCTTTTTTTTTTTTATAAATTAAAATATTTACGGCTTGTTCGACTTATGATGTTGTTGTATTGTATTGTATCGCATTTTTAAATATAAATTTTTATTTTGATTGTTACTTCAATTTTATTATATCGTATCATTAAATCTGTCGTTACGTAGCGACGAAAAATATCACTTTATGGAACGACCGATTTGGTGAGGTCACATTGTTACCTTATTTTTTTCTCTCATCATGTCTATCCTCGTAATTAAATAATTCTATTTTATCCTTTACCCTACCTTTTTATATAATAATTCTACTTTGTACCTTACTTTTTTTTAATAATATTACAAGTTATTCTTTATATTATTGGTGCATGACGTCATGAAACGACCACAAATAATTCAATCTATCCAATTTTGTATATATCAAAACGACAACACAATACAATGTTATGCGATACATTATAAAACAATACATAATAACCATCCAAACAAGCTGTTAAATGACCATATTAATCAATCATACTTTCTCAATTCCAATCCTAAATTAGGTACCAATGATTATTCTCTATATGATTGGCAGATCTGTAGATAACAATATAAGTAAAATAGAAAAATCTTTTATGGGATCATTTTCTTTATTTAAATTGTAACTGATATTACTAATCATGAAAAGGTGGTTTGCTTTGAAGCTTCTGAACTCTCTGACATTTGAACGAGAAAAAATATAGCAATGCGAAACACTAGTCTTAGTTGCCGACTTTCTCGTCGTATTTTTTTTTTATCTTCAGTTGAACTATTAGTTAGGTTATTATTTATCCGTAAAACAGTATAATTGAATTTATATGTGATTTATAGACAAACGAATCGATTTGATCTCAATATGATAAAGAAATTGAATAAGGATACAAGACTTAGCGCTAAAATTGAAATAAGACAGCAAGTAGCTTCGTTCCGGAAGCAGAACTTTCGAAGGCAGTAACAACAATATTAATGAGCAAAAAATAAAATGTTCTTGAGCTTTTGAGTAGTATGTAGCATAAGTTTAGTCAGAAAATTCATCTCCCTACTGTCACGACCCCAATTTTCCTCCGTAGGATATCGTGATGGCACCTAGTCTCTAAGACTAGGTGAGCCTAACATTCATGCAGAATATAACTGAAATAATAATTAAAGTCTCAATAACTCAACAACTAATATAAAATAAACTCCGCAACTCAGCATATACAACTTCCCAAAACCCGTTGATAACAAGTCACAAGCTCTACGAACAAGTACTGATCATCCCTATACAACGATGTGTCTACAAAAAGGAAAGAAATGAAATAAACTAGGTAGAGGGGACTCCAAGGCCCGCGGACGCCGGCAGGTATACCTTGAAGTCTCCGAAGCTGAACTCGTCTCACTAGTGCCTGGACTTGTAGGAGGTACCTGGATCTGCACAAAAGATGTGCAGAAGTGTAGCATGAGTACACCACAATGGTACCCAGTAAGTGCAAAGTCTAACCTCGGTAGAGTAGTACGAGGTCAATTCAAGGCCCTAATGGAATAAATAAGAAACAGAACGAGTAATTAACAATGTAATAGTAATAACAATAGAAATGAAACAAATAAGAAATATACCAAGATTGACTACACAAAACTAAGGCAAATAATGCATCACGGAAGAAAACAAGGAATGTTATGCCAAGGAAACGAAACAACCAAAAACAAGTAAAGTAATAGAGATGTATCAACAAGGGTCACTACCGAGGTACCGCCTACAAAATAATTCACAATCTTTCTTTATACCACCGCGGGAGCCTTCCATTTAGTTTTGAAAATTATTTTTTCCGAAATAGCTTCCTGCGTTTTAGCCCACCTTATCACACCGCGTGCTTCAAGTAGTTCCCCTACTAGCAACACGTGTATCAAGCCCACCTTATCTCACAGCATGCCTTTCAACCCCAAAACCTTATACCACCACATACGTATCAATATCACAACGTATCACAAATCGCACCTCAAGTGCGCAATATTACAACTTGCAGCCAAACCAATAACAATAGTGTTTTTACAACAAATGCCCCATGGCTCAACCCCAATATGCATAAGAGTCTCACAATAACAACCGGAAGTGAATAACTCAACAAGAATAGTATTTCACAACTTTACAACTTCGCCTCAATGTAAATCACGGCCTTTATAACTCAATACCAATTTCAACAACAAGATACTCCAAAAATAACAACTTCAAGTAAAGAACTCAATGGTTAAATAATGAATAAAGAACAGAGGAAACAATACTTCAACTAAACATGTAAAGGCAATTAACAAGTAAGAGACAAGACAAGTAGAGCATGTGAAGACAGACTAGTAATGATGATTATAACATGTTAAGGTAACTCAATTAAGGCATGAAAGGAATCTACATAGCTAAAACCGGTAAATTTCTACATTTAGCCCGTGTACATACTCGTCACCTTGCGTACACGGCTTCACACATCACAATTATCACAAACAACACCAATCCTAAGGGGTAATTTCCCACATAAAGTTAGGCAAGCCACTTATATCAAAACATGCTAACTCGATCCACAAGTAAGCCTTTCCCTCGATTATTCAGTTTCGAAAGGCTGGAATCTTGCCAAAACAACTTCATACCATAAATATAAACTATAGAAAACTATTTCGGCAATAAAGTTATGATATTTACAAAGAAACAAAAAGTCAACCCAGGCCCGCATCTCGGAACCCGATCAAAATTATAAAATCCGAATACCCATTCGGTAACGAGTCCAATCATACAAGAATTACTCAAATCCGGCCTTAAATCTTCTTTCAAATCCCCAAAATTTAGCCTAAGAAGTTTTCACAAATTTTCCCCAAATTTCCAACACAAATCACTAATTAGATGATGAAAATAATAATAGATTTATGGAATATAGTCAAATCCGGGTTAAAATCACTTACCCCAACCATTTCTTTGAAAAACTCTCAAAAAAATCACCACCAACCAAGCTCTCTAGGTCCAAAAATGAAAATGAGATCAAACCCTAAAATAAACCCTATTTCTGCACAGTGATTTCGCTTTTGCGGGCACTCAGTCGCATCTAAGACGCTGCACCTGAGGAAAAACCATCGCAGGTGTGGTTCCAACTTAAGCCCAGAGGTTCCGCTTCTGTGAACAAATGCTCGCACCTGCGAGCCCGCTTCTACGAAGAAAACGACCGCACCTGCGATCCCGTCCAAGGCCTCCCTCCAAATCTCGCTTCTGCCAAAGCTAGTCCGCGATTCCGGAAGCGCACCTGCGCCCAGGTGATCGCATCTGCGAACCCAGGCCTTTGCTGCCTCTTTTCTCTTCCGCGCTTCACCACTCGCACCCGCGAGTCCCCACCTATGGCCAATCCCTCTGCAGGTGCGATGACACCAGAAGGCTGGAGCTTCAGCAACATGATTAAGTCCAATTTTGTTCTGGATTCAATCTGAATCACACCCGGGCCCCCCGAGATCCCGTCCGAATATACCAACAAGTTCCAAAATACATAACAGACCTACTCGAGGCCAAAAATCACATCAAACAACATCAATTCTATGAATCGCAACCCAATTCAAGCCTATTGAAACTATGAACTTTTGAATTCCAAAACTAATGCCGATTCATACCAAAACAACTCCGATTGACTTCAAATTTTGCACACAAGTCACAAATGACATGGCATACCTATTCTAACTTACAGAATCGAAATCCGACGCTGATATTAATAAAGTCAACTCCCGGTCAAACTTTCCAACCTTCCTAACCTTCAACTTTCTAACTTTCGCCAATTCGAGTCGAAATGACCTACAGACCTCCAAATCAACATTCAGACGCTCTCCTACATCAAAACTCCATTTCAGAGTTTTCTACACAAAAGTCAAACTACGGTCAACTCTATCGACTTAAGGCTCCAACTTAAGGACTATGTGTCCCATTTCATTCCGAAAGTCACCCGAACAAAACCAAACACCCCTAGCAAGTCATTTAACCATAATACAACATAGAGGATGCAATAAATAAGGGATCGGGGCTAAAATACTCAAAATAACCGGCCGGGTCGTTACATCCTCCCCCTCTTAAAACAAACGTTCGTCCTCGAACGAGTATAGAGACATACCTGAAGTGGTGAAAAGATGAGGATAATGGCTACGCATATCATGCTCGGTCTCCTAAGTCGCCTCGTCGACTGGTTGACCCCTCACTGAACCTTTACTAAAGTAATGTTCTTCGACCTCAACTTTTGGAGCTGCCTGTCCAAAATGGCTGTCGGTTCCTCAACATAAGACAAATCTTGTCCAACTGTACTGAGATGAAATCCAACACATGAGACAGATCACCGTGATACTTCCGAAGCGTAGAAACATGGAATACTGGATGAACAACAGCTAGACTAGGTGGCAGTGCAAGCTTGTAGGCCACCTCTCCAATCCTCTCAAGAATCTCAAAAGGTCTGATATACCTAGGGCTCAATTTGTCATTCTTTCCGAACCTCATAACACCCTTCATGGGCGAAACCCGGAGCAAGACTCGCTCCCCAACCATGAACACCATATCACGAACCTTCCGATCCGCATAACTCTTCTGTCTCGATTGGGCTGTACGAAGCCGATCTTGAATCAATTTAACCTTTTCCAAAGCATCCTGAACCAAGTCTGTACCCAATAGCCTAGCCTCACCCAGCTCAAACCAACCCACAGGAGATCGACACCGCCTCCCATACAAGGCCTCATACAGGGCCATCTGAATGCCGACTGGTAACTATTGTTATACGCAAACTCTGCAAGTGGCAATAACTGATCCTAAGAACCCCCGAACTCCATCACAAATGCACGAAACATATCCTCCAATATCTGAATAATGCGCTTGGACTGTCCGTCTGTCCGAGGGTGGAATGTTGTGCTCAACTCAACCCGTGTGCCCAACTCTCGCTGTACGGCCTTCCAGAATTGCGATGTAAATTGCG